ATGGTCGTACGAGGCTCTTCCATGGCTTTTTCGGGAATCGAATGGCAGTTCTACTTTTTCCAAAAAAAACTGCGTTTGCCGAAAATCTCACTGAGGTCATGCTGTGTCGAAAAGCCATGTTGGCATGCTCGTAATGGTCCTCTAATTTTACATCATTCAAGCAGAGATCATTCAGCATTGGTTGGCAACAAAAGTGAATGTACTAGAATCTGACGTTCCGGAACGTTGACCTCAAAAATTTTTTTTTCATTCACCTCTTGCAAAATCGTTCTTTAATCAAGGCCCTCAAAGTCGGTTCAAACTTCCCCGACAACTATTTAAATGATTAAGTATACCCGTTGTGGCTTGATGGCACGAAATTGCGCAATCTTGGAATGGTTGTGTTGATTTCATGTGGTGATGGACGATTGTATTTACTGTAGTCTGCCGCTGTGCGTGTTCTTCCACTCTCGGTGTAATGCTTTTCTTCAAGTGTGAAATTCGTTTGGAGTTTACCAGCTGATTCTCGATCGTCGAATCGACTTTTTCCATACCGTCAAGGGATGGGTCGTTTGTTGGCCGATTTGTTGATTGAATTCATCACATGATTCTCGTACCTCTGCGAGTAAAAACGTTCTCTCAAAAGTGTGTTCGTGTTTGATTTCTGCAAAGGTTATCAATGCGCATAACATGACACTGGGTACTTGTACGCTGTCCTCGTACGTTATTAATTTGCGAAGTTGCTGAAATCCGTCAAAGACAGACTCCACTCTCAACCCATTCTTCTTACCAATGGTCCGGTCCGCCATCTTCAGCCTGGTCCTTTTAGCGACTCCAAAATGAGTGAAGAGGGCGTCGCAAGTTGATGGTATAGCGATACCCTCAAGTTGCCTCGCCCATCAGGCGAGAAGTGTAGCGGTCCTGCCTCTTAACACAAGAGTCCTGTGGCGTTCTGTAGTGTCTGTGCTACTCATTCTGTGTATTGTATATAACGTCCGTGTCCTCCAACTCCAGCTTGCAGTTTCATTTCCCCGGTAATGCAGCTTTACTGGACTTTACAACAATTCGCTGACTTACGGTTGACTTACGGCAATCGCGGCTTCTCTATAGAGGCTTCCAATGCTAGTCTTTGTTATAAACTTCTCCTGTATGTCATTTCTTGTTTTTGTTGAGTTATACGGAATGGTGCTAAGGAGTGGAAAGAAACCATTGTGAGCGAGAGAATGCACGCAGGTTTTCTATCGTTTTCATGGTTTTTTTTTCTTCGCTGTGAAGTCACTGACCATCTGCCCTTCCGTTTTTGATTTCCAATAACGAGAACTGGCCACCGCGGGGTCTGTCCTTGGGAAAGTTTTTTCTAGTCTGTTGACATGTTCGTTTACTGGTTCGACACTGTCAAAAAACCTCGGCAGGCTATTTTTTTGCTAGTTGATCGAGAGAAATGTTGTTCTCAAACGCCGTTTATGTTGAGCAATATGTGGATTTTTGTATGCAATTTCAAAATGCTGGGACTCACATTTAAACGGGAGTGGGGTGCGACAAGCTGTAGCTTCAAATTCATTGTCGTTTGCTGAAGGGTCGACATTCGCAAAAACGAGAATCGAGACGCATACTTCCTCTCCTAGTATGCTCAGATTTCCTCCTGTTTTTTTGTGGCTAGTGTTGTGAATTAGTTTTGGATCTGTTATGGCCCTATGCAGGAAGCACAAAGCACGCAGTACATAAGTTTAACTCCTTTCGAAGCACCAGGATGAGCTCTTTGGCTGTTCACGACAATTTTCTCCCTATCATGTCAAGCAGTAGTCGATCGTCGATAACTGCGCGAAGATCCAAGAAGGAGAGCTGAGTGGGTGTCGCTGATGCAAGGGTAACCACAGTTTTATGTTGCTTACTATAGCTACTACTATACCATATTACTACTGATTCGTTTGCTGTGAAAAGCGATGTTTTCTTGTTGGGAAACGAGGGTTTTTCCAAGAAGGTCGCTTGGGTTATTCTCGTTACTGAAACTTTTTCTCCCGTCACCTCTCAACAGTTTCCTGCGTCAATCAGAAAGTGCCAGTACGCCTTGTAATTCCTCTTTTCAGATGCATCACACATTCTTAATCAATACTGCGCTGATCCTAAAATTTTTAAAAGATTTGAATCCGTTAAATGCACGGTATTTATTCTATATGGTAACTCCAAATGAGACAATCTACTCGAACTTTGAAGATATACCGAATTACTACCTGAATCCGGTAAGCAACGAAACAAGCTGTAATTTTCCAAGAATTCGGATGCCATCTCCGAGCTCTAGCCTGAAATACCCAGTATGCCTGTTATATGGAAGACAAAAACTCAAATCAATTTCAAAAAATCAATTTCCAAATCCAGGGTACGACATGGATGTTCGCGTTGATTTTCGTGGAATTCCTGTTATTGGACGAAGAAAAATACGCTCTCAACGATACAATCACGTCGATAAATTGCGGAATGCTGCACCTTCTCCCTAAGTGGGCTTATTCTGTGAATGAGTTTGCTTTTCCCTATCTCGATAATTGACCAGAAATCCTCTAATGATCCTTTCCGCCTTGTAGTCTACTAAAGGCATCGTATTATGCCAGTTAGTTAGATTCCTCAGTTTTCTCACTTTAAAACTTGCAATCTCTTTAGCTGCTGGATTGCAAAGGTTTTTTAAGCCGCTTATATTAAGCTGTCCTCCTTGTAATTTTTTGAATAGGGAAAAGGACTCAGGAAAAAGCTTGAGAATTCACTAATTATTGTAAAAGCTCCATAACAGTTAACTGGTCTCCTCGCTACAAAGTGCCCTCCTTCCCCTGAAGCGAGCAGCGCCCATGACTGCTGATGTTAAACCCCTTTTTTTGACCACATGTGCATTTTTTCTCTCCCTTTGCTGCAGCTCCTCGTTGTCTCTCCTTTACCAGTTCTCTGTCCTTGCCTAACCCGTTATCTCTACCATTCCATTCAACAGTCCGCCGATCTCTGGCACAATATCTGTTACTGTCCTTAATAACTTTCACCTTCTTGCAGTTTGCCTCGCTCTGTGAATCCCGATATAGCGATGGCTTGTTAGCGCGAATTACTCCCACGGCTGAGCGCCATTTGACGTGTAGAGAATGTAAACTCAACAGCCTCAAAGCAGGGAATAGCTCATCACCTGCATTAATGACAACGCTGCTTCTTTCGCCAGTAGGTGAAGTAGCCCTCGTCATCCGGCAGTTTGATTAGGGCGTCGTGCAATCAGGGGCCGCAGCGCGTTGGGCGTTCATTAACTAATTTCTTTTTCTGCAAGGGCTATGATTTTCGTGCATTTTTGTCCAGCCTTTTTTCACTGTTTTGGCTACTTTTTCCAAGATTAGCAGCTCCTTATCTTCACAAGGTGGAAAAAATGACTAAATTAGCCTGGAAAAAGCAAATAGTTCCTGGCACGCGCTGCGGCCCGTTGACGACCGCCCTAATCAACTGCCCGGATGACGAGCAGAGGGTAGTGTAGTGGAAAGGCCGTCCCCCTGACTATTTTGCCTTTTCAAATGCGTTTTCTACTGAGCAGTACTGGCTGCACTAATGACTGAATGGCGCGGTGTTCTTTCGTGCGCATTTTACTTCATGGCTGGAAAACTGTTCTTGGGATAGGATGCCGAATTTTGTGGCCTTCTTCAGTGTTCGTACATGTGTTTGTAGAGAGACGCCCAGGTTTTTCAACGATGGCTCACCGCGTTATTTGAGCGATTCTAATCAAACAAAATGTGCTACCGGGTTGATTTAAATATTTTGTAGCCCTTACGCACATGTTTCAGTTTGCCTTTTCCCATTCTTCTCGCGCATGGGGCCTTGGACGATGTGTGAAACTTTTCTCGACATTTGGTGGTGAAGAGAGGAGATTGCCATCACCCGACGGAAACATTGGCGACTTGCCGCTTCTTAACGCCTTTCTTTTTTAACGAATGAAATTTCTCATAAATTCAGCAGTTACAAAACATACTGCTTTCGCTGGATCGGGTAGAAAACCCCATGTCTATATACTGAATGTGAAGACGCCGTTTGATAACATGCATAAGTGTGCACAGGAGAATATAGTGTAGTTCGCTGCGGACGGTTGGGCGTGTCAGTGCGGCTGCGTTTGGCGCGTGCCAAACTCGTTCTCCACCAGTTGTTGAAGCGGGCAAGTGACAATACTGTATCATATCCTTCGTATTACTCGTTTCTACCACTTTTTGTCGCATGCGCTTTCAACAAGAAGGCAGAGAACGGCTTTGATAGGGTGACACACTCATACTGGCTGACACGCCCAACCGTCCGCAGAGAACTAGAGTGTAACTCATCCATTCTGCGGGGCTCAAGTTTGAATTAACAGTTGACAATCTGACATTGATAGTTTTGACAGACCTGATTCCTAACCCGTAATGTCTCAGAATTGGGTGGCACCTGATATCTCAGTTTTCGTCTATCCGTTGATATACGAGCGTCTGCATATCGTGAATTTGCCAAAAGACTCGGCTCTCACATGGATATTGTGTTTTTTCACTCAAGATCTCATCTACTACCTCCTTCATCGAGCTGTACATGGTAAGCATGATCTGTACCAGATAAAGAAAATTGAAATTCGATAGGGAATGAATTGCTTATACAAAATGAATAAGGATAGGCGCAAAAGTCTTGAGCCTTCGCTTTTGACCTGAAGCGTTGGCATTACCCACAAGCTTTCCATTCAATGTTCAGTCGGCTCACAAGCTTAAACTCAGTCCACTATCATTTAGCCACACAAGAGACATAATGACTTAGTGGAGTTAGAAATCTCGCTAAAACCAACACTGCTCTTTCCATCATGAGTACGTTTTGATCTTGCGCGGAGGTAAATAGCTCAGTGGTGGACAACTTGTTTCATGCGAATGTCCGCGGTCGTAGTTATGTTTGCGCTAGGGTCAAGGAGAGGAGGCACCGCTGTAAAGTATCGTAAACTGTAGAGTTACGTAATGAAAGTAATTCTTCGATTTCTTTTGATATGTCGACGTTATACTGCGCAGTTGATTACAATTGGAACATGCCCTTTAGTTACAGCTGCGTAATCCATACGACAGGGGTAGGAATCTAACATGTATACGTGGAAACTTTAGTATTTTGTATACAATATTTACTATCACATTGAATCGCACTGGCAAGTGTAGTCATTCATTATGGCGTAATTTGATTATTATGACAGCAAATTTTTCTTGTTAGGCTTATTGTAGTATCCTAAAGTAAGCAAGATTACTCTGGAACAAAGGCGCGAGAGACTCGGTGCGAGCAATTCCTGAGCGAACTCAATTCCCGCAAGTAATTGAGAACGTAGAAATGATTGGTACACTTCTGCCGGGGCTGCTCTGTTCTGCCATGCTTGGGCAATCTTCACTCACGCAATGTGTTCAGGCAGCAGTTAGTATTAGGGTGTCCGGAAAGTTTTGAGAAAATTTCGCTGCCTCACTTTGAAAAAGCGTAGCTCGCGAAGGCCATGAGCAAATCTGTAGATCAAAACATAGGAAGATAGAGCATTGTCTGTAGATCAAATCAGCAGCTGATCAATATTACAGTTCGTCAAGCATTTGTTGTCATCAATCGAATAATGTGTGACAGACACGACACGTCAGACCGTATGCCTACTTCTAAGTCCTGTACCGTTCTGCCGCTCCGCCACTACTGAGCGAATGAAAGCGAAATTTGTCTGTCGTCGATTTGGTTTGTGGCAATGCACCCTCTCTTGCAACCTGCTACAGGTGGTACGATCGCTTCGCAGTGGGAGAGTTAGCCTCGATGAAGCACCTCGATGCGGACGCCCTCCGGTCGCTCTTCCAACACTGGCTATGCTTGGCTGGCTTCTAGTCGAGGGCCAATGCCTGCGGCCCGAAGTCTGAGGGAGGTTTGGCAGAGGACGACCTTCCAGCTCCTGCGTCGGCACTATTCATGGCATTCTGGAAGAGGAACGGCTTTCCAACGCGGCTTTGCCAGCGGAATCATTCCGCGGTCTCTTACCGCAAGGGAGCGTGCGGTGAGGGTCGATGTGTGTCAGAAGCTCCTCGATCGAGAAAGAACGACGACTTGGGCGAGCTTCATAATTGCTCAGGATGAAAAGTGGATCTCGTACGAAAACCCGGATAGGAAACTGGAGTGGCTGCCGTCGGATCAAAAGCCGGAGCCCGTTCCAAAGCGAGGCTGCCACGCCAAGAAGGACTTGCTCTCGTTTTTCTTCTGCTCCACCGGCTGTATTTACTACGAGATTCTTCATGAGGGTACTACTGTAACATCATCGAT